TTTCCATATGTTCTAATGTCAATTCTTTGTTCTTTAATTCATTCTTTAAATTTTCCATTTCATTAATCTTTCTCTGCATCTCATTCATATCTTCTTGTACATTAAGAAGTTGTTGCTGTTTTTCTTGGAGTTGCTGGCTCTTAAAATGTATAATTTGTATAATTACCATTTTGTCTATATTCTCAAAATTCTTACATGACATCATTAACAGCCCTGCCTCCTATCACCATATAAATAGATAAGTGCCATTAAAAGTAAACGAAACTCACAGGCATAAATGTCTGTAGTGGGTTGAATTTTGTCCCACCCAAAATTCATGTCTTCCGGGAACTTCAGAATGTGAACTTACTTGGAAATAGTCTTTGCAGATGTTACTGGATTAGGATCGAGACATGATCCTACTGGAGTAGGTCTTCATTCCAATGAATGTATTTAAAAGAAACATAAAAGGACATAGACAGACACAGGGAAGGAGGTCATGTGAAGAGGGAAGCAGAGACTGAAGTGAAGCAGTTAAAAGCTGAGGAATGCAAAGGGTAGCTGGGAGACACTGGAAGCTAGGAAGAAGCAAAGAATGATTCTTCCTTAGAGCCTTCAGAGGAAATATGGCATTGCTGACACTTCAAATTTGGACTTCTAGGATTCAGAACTGTGACAGAATAAGTTTCTATTGTAAGCCATCAAGTTTACAGCAATTTGCTATGGTAGCCCTAGGAAACTGATATAGGCAGATTAAGGAGATAAAATAAAGTGAAAAAGGATATAAGGGGAAGATGAGATAAAGTAAAAAAGCAGAGAGACTATTAAATATACAAATACAGCGACCAAATAACTGTAATTCCTCATCCTCTTAAAAACTTCTGGAGAATTTATTTTCACTTTCAATAAGATGCTTATGGGTAGTTCCCCAAAACACTGAGACATTAACTGTCACAGGGTGTTGATTTTACTTTTTTATAGGAGTATGAAATAGACATAAGATTTTAGTAAATCCAATTAGGTGAGATAGTGAAAGGGATCAGAATTAAAAGAAATGACATATTAAGAAAAAAACAGGCTGGGCATGACAGCTTACACCTGTAATCCTAGCACTTTGGGAGGCTGAAGCAGGAGGACTACTTGAGCCCAGGAGTTCGAGACCAGCAGCATACAAAGACCTTGTTTCTATAAAAAATACAAAATTAGCTGGGTGTTGTGGCACAGCTAATTTAGTCCAAGCTACTTGGGAGGCTGAAGTGAGTGGACTGCCTGAACCCAGGGAGGATGAGGCTACAGTGAGTGTGATCATGCCACTGCACTCCAGCCAGGGTGACAGAGTGAGACCCTGTCTCAATAAAAAAAAAAAAAAGAAAAAATATTCCCCAGAAGCATAATAGAAACCACAATATATTATCTATAATTCATGTGGCACTGCCCTTAGCTTATATAGAAAGATCTCTATGGGTGCATTTTAGAATCTCTTGAGAACTACAGCTGTTACAGGGGGTCTTAGCTCTTACACAAATATCCCAATAGCACCTAGCTTCTATATAAGAAATGATTCGGGAAACTGCAAACATCTAAGAGATGGTGATAGTGATGAATCTTATATTTCAGAGAATGACTAATGTATCTCTGCAAGGAAAGAATCTTTGTTTTGTTGACTAGTTTATCTCAAGTGCCCAGAACAGTGCCTAGCCAAAGACAGTGCTCAATAAATATCTGATGAATGAATATATCATAGGATATGTTTAAATGATACAAAGCCATCTCTCACCCAAAGACTTTTGAATAATACTAGCATTAAAATATGTTCATTTGGGAGGTATGTGCTATTTCTGGATTTAGGTCTACAGAAACAAAAATTTACTACCAAAAAGTTTAGTTAAAAAAATGGCCAGGAAAATAACTTTAAAAATTCACCTTTTCATTTAGTTTTTCTTCAACTTCTGCCAGTCTGTCACAGGTCCTAGAAAGTTCTTCTTCCTTCTTTCTGGTACGGTTCTTTTCTTGTGCAACTATCTCTTGCTGCTTTTTAAGTTCACCTCCAAGAATTCTTAATTCTTCCTGGTTTTCAATGGTCTAGAAAGAAAAAAATGTTGAGATTAAAGAAAATATTAGCTGATATTTATGAAATCAGGTAAAATGTCAGCAGTTCCCTCAGTCTGCAAATGAAGCAATCAGGGAAAACTATACAGGAAAAGACTAATTTCAGGTAAGAAAGCCCTTAATTTAATAATATAAGATGCCAAGAATCTGCTTTTTATGCTGTTTCTTTATTTCTCAATTTACATTTCTACAATGAGAGTTTGAATTGGATTTAACATTCTATCATGAGAGCTTAGCTCATTTCTGCCTTTAAGCCAAAAAAGATGTTTTCTGAGCTATCACTGAGTAATAATGAGACTATAGCAATAGGTTTTTTAAACACTGGGATGCCTTTGGTTTTAGGCACCGATCGCCACCAGCAAGCTCAAAATGGCAGCCACCCTTTGCGAGCATGACTTGGGCTAATCCTAGTTATTAGGCTCACACAGTGATAATATTCTCCTGTATCAAGACCACAAAAACATAACAAGCCAGAGACTGAGAAGAAAATATAATTTTTTGTTTGCATGATTAATTACATTCTGCTCTTTTGACCAAGCAGACAATTCCCAAAACTTGCAAAATTAAAACAATACAAATGGTTACATTCTACTATGATACACAGTGAATTTCTCCAAATATTTATTTCAACCTATACACATTACATCACCCCTAAACATAGAAAAACTAAAGTGTGAAAATATTGGCAGGCATCAACACACAATTAAAAATAATATTTTAAAATTATGGTAGCAAAAAATAAAAGAGAAACATTTAGGAACAAATTTAATAAAATATTAAAAGACCTACACACTGAAAATCTACAACACAACTCTTTGGGAACGGATAAATTAGAGGAAGATAGACAATGATTTATAAGCACAAGAAAAAATGTTCAACATCTTTAGTCATCAAGGAAAGACAAATTAAAACAACAATCTACACACCCATTAGAATGGCTAAAATTAAAAGCGCCAATAAATATGAAGTGTTGGTGAAGAAGGATGGTTGGGCCACCAGAATTCTCTTAATTTGCTAATGGGAATGTAAAATGATATAAATGTACTTTGGAAATCAGTCTAGCAAAATCTCATCAGGTTAAACATATACTTCCCTACAACACAGCAATTCCATTTAGGTATTTACCTTAGATAATTAATGATATGTAAATAAAAAGCATTGTACAAGAATGTTTATAGCAGTTTTATTCAAAATAGCCAAATACTGAACATAACCCAAATTTCCATCTATAGGAGAAACGATAAAAAAATTATGACATATTAACAAGATAAACTATTCCTTGGCAGTAAATGGGAATGTAGATTGAAGTCAAACATAACGGACTACATACTATATGATTCTACTTGTATAAAGAACTAGAAGAGACAAATGATTTAAGGTGAACATAACAGGACTGACAATCTGGCAGGGAGGAGGTGATGAGGGTCAGTGGTAGGGGTGTGAGGAAACTTTCTTGGGGTGATGGAAACATATTCTATCTTGACTGGGGTATAGAGGAAATAGAGCCATTTGTCAAAAGTCGTCAGACCATACACTTCCACCAGATACATTTATTGTATGTAAATTATACCTCAATAAAGTTGATAAAAATCGAAAACAAATGAAGACAAAAAGGAATCGTCAAGTGTACAGTGCTAAATCTTACCATTTCAATATTTTCCTTTAGGTCAGTCTTCAACTGTTCCTTTTCTGCTCTAACACTCTCTAACATTTGTTGGAGTTTATTTTTCTCCTGTATTAAAGAAAATATCTTCTTCTGTTGCTCAATTATATCATTATCCTTAACATCTGCAGTCAGTGTTTGGGTATTTTTAGCTTCCAAATTCTGTTTTTTATCTATGCCAACCATCTAAAACATAAACACGTTTTTAAAAAAATTTATTTAAAAATAATAAAAATAGCCAACACATCTAATATGTGCCAGATACTATTCTCATATCTTAACACATTTAATCTTGACTGTAACTTTATGAGGTAGGTATTACTATAATCCTCATTTGACAGATGAGAAAACTGAACTTGAGAGAGGTAAAATCACTTGCCAAAGGTCATTCAGAGGTTTAGCCAGGTTTTGAATCCAAGTGGTCTGGCTCTAGAGTTTGTGCTCTTATGTCTATTCGCTGATCAGAACAATATGGACAACTATAAATAATAGCTGTCTTCGTGTATGATAGGTTAACATGATTCTGCATGTTTACTTACTTCAAACCAATAACATAATACACAAAGCCCATTTGCCTTTAGTTTGTATGTATCTTCCATAAATATTTTCCAAGTTTCATTTTAGTAGTAGTTTTTTTATTTACTGCATCACTTTATCTATTTCCTCCTAATAGCTGGGAATCATTCCTTGTCTCCTACTCCCTGCAAATCTTTATTTTTAGAAGCAGTCCTACTTACAAAACGCTAGAGTTTTATTATATGTAGAGGACAAAATAATTTTGATAGAGACCTATTTTATAAGGGCAAAAATTCATCTTTTCTTAATATATGTATATTTCATATACTGCTCAAGAAAAATGTTATATAAATTCATTTACCCATAAATAAGTCACGACCAAAGATAATCTAGTATATGAACTCATTGGTAAAGGGAGACAGAAACTGAAATTACTATTGTTGGTACAAAATTAGAGTATTATTATATTTACTATATAACACTACACTAGTTCAGCAAGTACAGTCAGCTCCTTATTGCCTACACAGGTATTTAAAAGTTTTTATAATAATATATAATCACATTAGAAAACAACAAAAAAATAAAGGATAAAAATCATCTACTGTCACCAACTTCACAAAACCAACTATTAGAATTCTGGTAAGTTTTCTTCCTGAGTTTTTCCATTAAAAGTTTTCTTTTTTTAAAACATAGCTATTATAATTAATTTATATATGTGCTTCTTTTTTAGTTTGTCTTTTCCACTTAGAGCATATGTATTTTCACATGCTGTTATGTAACCAAATAATTTTTAGTAGCTGCGTCATTCTCTAGAGT